TTTGAGTTTAAAAGTGAGCCGGACGTGTTCAATCTGAGATTCATCCTACAGTGAGAACATTTTGAATTTTTCATGGATCTTTAATATTTTAACATGAAATATAAATAAATCATTTCATATTTTAGAAGAATCTCTAGGTTATTTTCATGGTAAATGATCCTAAATATAAATAAATATTTTAATATATATATTATGAACCTATAATGTGCAATTTTTAATACTGAATAATAGATGTAAATAATTCTGTAGGTTATTATTTCATATATGTTGATCTTTGGCATGACGGTATACTTTAAAACAAGTCAAACTCTTAGTGTTTTTGTGCAATGAAAGAAAAGGAAATGAATTCAGTGTCAGGTCTCAGATCAGTTAGACCCTCATCAGATCTGTGTGTGTGTGTGTGTGTGTCACTCATTCCCTCTTCTGCATGTGTGTCTGCGTGAGGTTTGGTGTCGTGTGATGAAGCACCAGGAGTCCAGAGAGAGTCAGAGAGATTCCCACCCACCACAGAGCCACGTGAGTCTCTCCGAAGATCAGCTGACCCAGAAACGCCTGAAAGACACACACACACACACACACACACATACCCATCATCAACCCTATACACACTTCACAGACACATAATAAACCCATGTAGTCAACATTCACAAAAGTTTCACAATTGTCCAAAGAAAAAAATGTGTTAAATAGTTTTAGGACAACTTTGATGAAAGGTGATGAGCTGCCACTTTATTAGGTACACCTGTCCAACTGCTCATTAACGCAAATTTCTAATCAGCCAATCACATGACACCAACTCAATGCATTTAGGCATGTAGACATGGTCAAGACGATCTGCTGCAGTATATATAAATAAATATATATATATATATATATATATATATATATATATATATATATATATATATATATATATATATATATATATATATATATATATATATATATATATATATATATATATATATATATATATATATATATATATATATATATATATATATATATATATATATATATATATATATATATATATATATATATATATATATATATATATATATATATATATATATATATATATATATATATATATATATATATATATATATATATATATATATATATATATATATATATATATATATATATATATATATATATATATATATATATATATATATATATATATATATATATATATATATATATATATATATATATATATATATATATATATATATATATATATATATATATATATATATATATATATATATATATATATATATATATATATATATATATATATATATATATATATATATATATATATATATATATATATATATATATATATATATATATATATATATAT